CACCCCTGATCCAGCTAATCAGGTCCTTCAGGCTTATTTGAAAACTAGATTGGTATGTGTGTTGGAGCAGGGTTGAAACTAAACTCTGCAAGGCTGCGGCCCTCCAGGAACTGAGTTTGACATCCCTGCACTACACGTTACAGGAACAGAGTCAGAGTCAGAGTAGCTTTATTGTCATTCCAGGTGCTACATAGACAAAAACACAGAACACAGGACTGCAAAGAAACTAAACTGGACACAATTAATAATGAATAATTAAAAATAATCAAGAACAGTTTGAAATTGTGGTTCATTCCTCTAACACTGAAAGATGAAATCATTCCTTTTTTTTGTAAATGTAAAAGCAAAGCAGGCCTCAAGCCCCATCTTTGGTATGCACAAATAAAACTCATTCTTCATGCGTCATTAATGTGTGGACCATTTGTGCATACATAAAACCAATGCATATATTTGTTTAGATATTAACAGATATTAAACAGTCTCATCTGGTTATTCCTGTTCATTTTATCTTGCTTGCATTTCACATCGCTTTGTTATAAGGAAATCATCTATAATTAATTTTGAGCTGTCAGTTTATTCAGTACAATAATGTGACTAGCAGCTATAAGGCCTGTTGCTCCGTTTTTTTTTTACATTAGCATTATCTGCTGCAGTATGGTAGCAAATTAAGAGTTAGTAACAAAACACTGATACCTAAACCACTTCCCACCCCCACCCCCAGTTTATTATGATTATTATGAAAATAATATATTAATCATGTTTTAAAGCATTAGTTCACCCAAAAATGTAAGTTCTGTTATCATTTACTCACCCATGTCGTTTCCAACCTGTATGACTTTCTTTCTTCTATGGAACACAAAAGAATTTGTCTAGATGAATATGAGGTTGCGTGAATCCAAAACAATGGAATTATAGAATGGAAATACAATGGTTCAAGTGAATTCTTAATATAACATCAAAGAGTGCTGGGGAAAGAGACCACGTGGCCCGATGATCATTTTGCAAACATGCTAATCAATTTTGGTAAGAAAAAAAACAAAACAAAAAAAAAAAACAATAATTTTGCAGCATAACTGTGGTTGCCACCATTGCTCGCTTGTGCATGTTTACATGTATAACATTTATATGCACCTCTGTTCCTTCTAAATCATATAATCAAAACTAACGGTATAACCCAAGATTCCAAAGTATGTGTTTAAACTATCCACTTTATTTTTCAACGCGGAAGTAAGCTGTTTTCTGTGAGTGTGCCAGACTTCCGCTTCATAGCCGCTGTAGGGAAATAACAAGAAGAATAACAAAGTGCACTGCAGTAAACGTTAAAACAGTTTGCGCTACAAATCAGTGTGTTTATAATTAAGACAATACATTAAAATAATATGGTAAGAAACATCAGTCTGCAATATCAAGCAGCAAAATTAGCTGTTTTGTACAGCTACTATAAAAATGGCTGGAAGTGGATGAGACCAGAAGCCATACACATTAAATTCACAAATGGCTGTGTCCGTTCTTATGGGAAAAATACTACAGTATGTGCACTGCTACAACAACAACAATAAAAAAAAAATAAAATAAAAAAAAAACTATATTGGGAACATACATTCAAGTAATCATCTGTTTGGAGTACTGTCTCAGGCAGTGGCCTAAAAAACAACCAGAAATACAAGTTTGACAACATTGTTTCTACTTGTGCACATCACCATGTGAGAAGACGGTAAAGCCTACATGAACAAAAGCTACAGCACAGAGTGAAACTGGCGATGAACAAAGCACCAGACATCAGAATAAACAAACCACTATAAACAAACCAAATACACCAGGTTCCCTGGAGATGTGCCAGCATCGTTTAAGCACATTTTGGGTTGCACTTTTTATTACAGTAGGTGTACTTACCCAAGGAAGTACTGGTAGTAAACTATATGGACTATACTGGACTATATGGGATGAGGTTAGGTTTAGGGGTAGCTTCAGGGTTAGTATCTATTTATTACCCAGTTAGCGTTACACTACTTGGCACAAGCTGATTGTTCATGTTGCATATGCAGCCGATGAGCTTGCTGCTTTACATTTAAATGGCTGGTTAGCATTCACTAGAGCATTTTGCAGCACGCTTTCAGGGATCTTCTGAATCCCTCCACCTTCCCCAGCTCCACCTGAATAGATCTGCTACAGGTTATTTTATATGCAATTCTTGAATATGTATTGGCAATAGCAATTTCCTGTACTTGCTTTGCAGCAGCAGCAATAATCTAAAACAACAGAAATAACCAACAGCAGCAGCAGCGTAGCAGATCTATTCCACCAAGACCAAATACATTAACATTGTCATATCCATTACCATGCAAAAATCTTCTGAGAGTTGTCATGATAGAAATTACAGTAAAAGTGTGTGTAGCTATTATGTTACTCACTGCAACAAACCAACCCCCACATAATGAGGACAATACCTTAGAGACGATGTTCCCACAAGTTTTGTCATGCGTGTAGGTTTAAGCTGTCATCTGTCTATCTATGATACATACAAAATGAGTATCATAGAAGAAAGACAAGTTTCAGTTGTGGGTTTGTTCACCTGTACATTACAGGTGCAAAAACAGTTTGCTTCTCAGCTCCACCCCTACTTAACCAGTTACTAGGAATGAGAGACAGGTATTTCAGGAGGGAATACATGAAGCATTAAGGTCATTGGCGAACTCACCAGAATGGCTACTGAAAACATTTGTCATGGGTAAGCAAATTTGACCTTTTATTATTTTTGCTTTATGTTCTTTACATACAAAATCTTATTATAAACTTATAGTAGAGTAACTTATTGGGCTTGGAAATTAAACTGGCTGAAATCCAATAGGGTATATGTCGAACATCACTTGACCAAACTGGAAGACAGGTCTCATTGAATCCTCTTGTAAGAGAAAGTATTAACAGCCGTTTTTTGATAACCCCTATACCATTATTTGAGTGCAGCTGAGCTAATACTGAACATATCTGTGTATATATATATATATATA